AGAGAGAGAGAGAGAGAGAGAGAAAGAAAGAGAGAGAGCTACCTAAGCAAGCAGCCTCCCACCTGCTGGGCCTGGCAGCGAATGAGGCTGGAGTCCCCAGCTGTCTCTAGGGAGGCAGGCAGCTTCTGCAGTTCTCCAGGCAGCTCTAACCAGCAGTAGTATGAGGTAGGCAGGCCCTGAGGTAGGGGTCGCCAAGTCAGTCTTGTGGATATTGTCATTCTCCCATCATCCCCAGCCCCTGCCCTCCTGACTACTCACTTGGAAATAGTGAAGGTTCTGAACGCGCAGGGCCAACTGACTCTCCCAGCCCACAGGCACCAAGTGAGGACCTACCAGGCCCTCAACCTGGGGACAAGCCTCTGGGCCACGAACTTGGATGTCCACCTGGGGAAAGGACAGCCTTAGCCCTTCAGAACTGCATGGGCCCGCTCCTCAGTGGGTCTGGCTCTGTCCTCAATGTTGAGGTGGCCTTGGGGCTGATCAGGGGAAGCCTGCGCATCTGCCGCACTTACCTCCTGGGTGCTGTAGACAGTTTTCTCACCCTCTGGGCAGTGCTCTCCATATACACAGTGGCTGCTTTGGGGACACCAGTGGCATCGCCAGCGGCTGCCCACACAAGTGCGGCACCTACAGAGGCAGGGGTGTTCTCAGACTCAGTACTATCTGGAGTTGCCACTCCTACCAGCAGAAGCCAGACCCAGGAACTCACGGGGCAGCCACCTCCAAGGTCTGGACAGCGCTGCAGTCATAGAAGGAGAAGGTGGTGGCAGCCACGACCACATCCTCAAACATCAGGGCCAGGGGCAAGGTGATGTGATCTGGGAGGGAACAGTGGTGGAAGAGCAAGTTACGTAGCTCCTGCCCACTCCAATTCCAGTTTGGGATCCCTACCCAGGGGTCCCTTCACCTGCGCCTGGAGGGTTAGATGGAACCTGGTCTTGAGGAGGGGTGACACAGGCCACATGGGCCCCTTCCACCTGAGCCAGACTGTCGTAGTCCCCAAAGGCACAATGGAAGTATTCATCTATGGCCAGGGTGGGCAGCCGGGGTACAAAAAGAGTGATCTGGGAGATGAGAGAGGGAGATAAGGAGGTAGAGCCAGAGTAGAGTGGTGACAAGGTCATGCTAAGGATGTGGGTAGAGGTGGCTAGGGCAGAAACAGACAGGAGGTCACCAGGGGTCATACTTCCACAGGCAATGGCCAAAATGCCTGGAGGACCTACAGTGTGCCTCACCTGGCCCTGTTCCTGACGGGGGTGCTGGGCTGGTTGCAGGCTCTGGATGTGGAGACAGCAGCTATCTTCTTCATAGCTCCACAGCCACTGGTTTGGCTGGGCTGCCTGTTTACACTCACCCTTCCGTGTACACCTGCCAGGTAGAGGCCCATTGTGTTTATGTGAGTCTCGGCTTCCTGGTGTGGGATTAGGAGGATGGCCTTGCTGGAGTGTAGTGAAGAGGAGAGGAACATAGCGCTTCGTGGCCAGAGTACAGGCTTTGGTCTTGACTATGAGTAAGAGGGAGACACTGGGCTGTCCTCCCCGCCCCCCCCCCCCCGTGTGTGTGTGTGAGAGACAGAGACAGAGGCACAGAGACAGAGAGTTTTAACAAGGTCTCATGTATCCCAAGCTAGCCTCCAATTTGCTATGGCCTTGAATTTCTAGTCTTCCTGCCTCTACCTCCCACATGCTGGGATTACAGATGTGGACCACTACATCCAGTTTTCACAGTGCTAGGAATTGAACCCAGGGCTTTGTGCATGCTAGGCAAGCACTCTACTAACTGAACTACATTCCTAGCCCACACTTCAGGTTTCCCTAAATGAGTCCTGGGCTGCTTCGTGGACCCCAGGCTGGAGGGATGCTCAAGTAAGTCAAGGGATGCCAGCAGCTGGCAAGGGCCTTGGGAGAGATGACAGAGGCCTTACCTGAGGTGGGACTGCTGGAAATGAGAAGTGAACAGTGGCTCGATGGGCTGTGATAGGATTGGGGAACTCAGCAACAGTGAGCTGGGTTAGCCACTTGGCATACCTACAGCTGCTTTGGGGGACAGCCTCCCAATCCTTAGTACTTGTTTGTCCAAGCCAGAGTTTGGGCCATGCTCACCTGCCCTGCAGGACACACCAGCCACACAATGGGTCCCTGGCCTGGAGGCAGCCAGAACAGTTGTGGAACTGAGGACAGGCTGCCACGGGGACTCGGTCCACCTGAGTGGGCAGTGAAGGAGAGAGATAAGGTGGTTATAGAGACTCAAGCCACTTGGACCTGCTGCCTCCAACCCTGGGGAAAGGTCTTACCTGCTGGGCAGTCAGGACATAGAGATAGTCCCCATTGCTGTCTACCAACAGATCTGGGCTGATGGCTGAGCCTGGAGGTCCTACTTGCTGGGAGTGGTATACCTGGCCTTGAGAGCTGTTTAGGAAGACCTAGGCAGGGGTGCAAAGATAGGGCTAGGCCACCCTCCCAAGCCAAGATCAACCCTCCTGGTGACCAAATGCTGGCCACTGAAGGCACAGGCTATCCTGACTCCTTTACAGGAACATAAAGATTGTCAGGAAGAATCTTGTTCCCTCAGAGCCAGATACCCTTTCTGCTAAGCCTCCAAAGGAGGAAAATATCATTTCCTCCCATTCACAACCCTTATGGTTAGGTCACTCTCTAGGAAACCATAAGGTTGGGCCAACGGAGGCACTCTGGCTAAGGCTCTTAGATGCCAGGGCCATTCGGCCACATGAGAGAAAAGGCAGTTACAGAGACGAGAGAATTCTGGATCCAGGCTGACTGGGCATCAACCCCTCTGGGCCTACCAGTACATCTTCCCCATCCACCTTCACCACCACTCCCATCTGCCTCACAAGGCTCCTGGGTAATCTCCCATCTGGGAGCCAGAACAGAAGGTGGTCCCTCCCAACAGATGTCCAGCTACGGTGAGGCCTTCTGACCCATCAGTGGAATGTGGCTGAGAAGTAGAGGGTCCTGGGACTTGCCTGAGCCACTGGCAGCAGGGGGACCTGGACAGGCAGCAAGGCCAGGCCCAGCCTGACAGTGTAGAGGCCACTGGAGGGTACTTCCATTGGTCAGGTTCTCACCTTGTGTAGCTGGCCCTGGGTGTCCCCCAGGAAAACTATTGTGTGCCCATCTGTCTGGAGGGCAGCCACTGCACTGATGGACTGCCCCAGTTGCAGCAGAGGCTGGGCCTCCAGGGGTTGACGGCCTGCGATGGGGCTGGGGGTATGCTCATCACCACAAGGATATGACTCAGGGGAGTCCTGGATGGACAAGACAGAGAATCAGTTTGCAGAGGATGCAGGTAAGCCCTCCCCTGGGCCCAAAGAATGCCCACAGCCAGTGAGAAGGGAATTGGGAGGACCCTGGGTACAGAGCAATCTGTCCAGAAGGGTCTGTAAGGCTGGGTTCCTGGGCCTCACAACATTACAACTTGCCCCACATATGAAAAGAGAAGGAAAGAAACAGGCTGAGTGTGGGTAGGAGCTTGGACACAGAGCCACCCATCCCCTATTGATATCCTCAGCCAAAAGGTCAACTAGCGGTTATCCCTGGAGAGCACCCTAGTCTCATGCCCACAGGGAAGCTATAGAAAGTGAACACAGGAGTCCTGGTCAGAATTTGGGATCCAGGCTCTCCCTACTCACAGGGGGCAGGGTGACACAGCGGGACGTGACACCATACTCCACGGTGGCTTCCTCCATGCCACTGGGACCTCGACCACCAGCTGTATAACAAAGTCGCCTGGCTTGCTCCATACTCTTGTCCAATTTGGCTAGGGGAAAGGCACACAGGGTGGCCTGTGCCCCACTTGCGCCTGTGGCAAATGCACCTAGCAAGGTGTCCAGAGCAAGGAAGGCAGCTTGGATGAGGCCCTGGCCGTGGCAGGCAAGGGGCACTTCCACATAGGAGTAAAGGTTGGTGTCTCCCAGGCAGACACGGGCTACATAGGAGCGGTATTCAGCCTGGGCCCGGGCCCCACGGCGGCGGAAGACAAAGTAGGCAAAGTGGGCATCTGAAAAGGCTCCCACGTAGCTGTTGTTATAGTCTGAGAAGTCGCCTACCACAAGTCGCCCCAGACCCTCGCTGGAGAAAGGTTGTGGCCCGGCCATCTGGCGTACCGTTAGGGGTGGCACTCCTGCTGACAGCTTGCCTGCCAGGCCTCTGGCCACCAGCAGGAGGTCCCGGCCTGGCAAGGGCACCACTAGGCCCACTGTGGCCACTCCTGGGGTATTGGCAGCTACAAACTGCCCATCACCGGGATCTTCAGCCTGGTACAGCACTTGAGCCACATCCCCAAGGCGCCGCTTCTCACACACACCCTGCCTCACCTGCCCACAAGCCACCAGCTCCTGGGCCCTGCTGCTCACCAACAAGAGCTGGTTGACATTATCAGTGAGTTGGGCCTGTGGGCACTCGGCTGGGTCACGGAAAGGCACACAGTCAGGACTGTCGAACACAGGGCCAGTGACAGCCATAGCCTCCATCTGCAGCTCAGGACTGAGCTGGAAGAGGTGGTTCACTGCGCCCACGTAGAGTGTGCCTTGGCCTGGCACTGCTACCAGGTGGTTGAAGCTGGTGTTGGGTGCAGAGAAGCGATGGGCTCTGGCCAGGGGCAACAGCAGTGGCCGCAGCAGCAGGAACAGAAGCAGGTGGAGGTTGAAGGAAGGCCAAGGAGCCATCATAGGAGCCTGGAGGAAGCCAGTCAGCATGAGGCCTGATGGGAGGATGCTGCAGGCACCCCACCCTCCAACAGGCAGAAAGAGACAAGAGAGATAGAATGGGAACTAAACTGGGGCAGAGATGGGACCAGAGGAAGACAGGAGAGGTTCATGGTTAGGCAGAGAGGGAAGGAGCAAGCAGGAGACAGAGGGGGCTCAGAGACAGCTCCCAAGGAGAGGACAGAAAGAGAGTCCCCAAAAGAAAGTGTCCGAGAGCTGGAGAAAGAGATAGAATGGGGATGAGGTGCACACAAGGAGGGAATTCTTTCATCTTCTGCTTTAAATTCATGTAGACTACGATGGAGGCAGATACTGAGAAGCCACATGGGCATGACACAAGGACTCTGAGTGGCAGAGGGGCAGGAGAGGGGAGAGACATGGGAGAAGGGAGCCACATCCACAGGAAAACCTAGTATTGGTCACCCAGACAAAGAGAAGCAACACAGGGACAAAAGGAACCAGGTGACCATGTTGCAGGGTACCTACCACAAAAGGGACAGGGAAAGAAAATTCACCCTGGGCAGCCAGGGCCAGCTGCACAGAGGGACCCTCACCAGATGGGAGAAACAGCCAAGGAGAGTCTTGGCTTCTGGCTGGGATGCAGCCAGACACAGCCACACGAACCCCAATGACAGCAATGACCAGGTGGCTAGAGCCAGGTCACAGAGGCCTTAGACCACCACTGAGTGCCCATTGTAGGGGTTGCTGGAGAGGTATAAGCCAGCCCAGAGGATACTGAGAGACTCTGTGGGCACCAGAAGGCAGCTCACGATGCAGGGGTGGTGGACTGCTCACTCTCTGCCCCATGGACCCCAGCGGTCAGGGTCTATGGGGGCTTGACCTCCAGAGGGTCCTCAGTGTAGAAGCCCTGATAAAGTCACAAGTGAAGGGCCAGAAAAAGCTTGACTGAAGGAGCAGAGAGTGGGGAAGCTGGACAGAGGTAGCCTCAGATATGCATGGAAGGGACCTTGAGTCTGAGACCCTGAGGGCTCTCCAACCAGAGTGGTCAGCATCAGTCACTGTCAAGCAGGGTGCCTCGGTGACTTTCAGACAGATGTGACCCTGGGTAAAGCTCTAGAAAGGGGCAGGAGCTGGTGACAGGGTCTAAACTGAGCTGGGGGGTCTGCACAGCTGGACATGTGGGCACATGCCATCCAGGAGCCACCCACTGCCACTCAAAAAAAGGTTCCAGGGCCCCTTATCTTGGGAGTACAGACATAAAGGAGACAATTTTCTCTACAGCACAAATGTCTCTGTGGGTATGTGTGATGGGGGAGATGGGACTTCCACTCAAGGAAACAGAAGACATGGAAGTTCCTTACCAAGGCTGCCCTGTTCCCTGGCCTAGGCTAACTTGCCCCACCTTTACCCTATCTCTCTCAGGGACATCTTTGGGGACACAGGGCCCAGGCACTTACCGCCACTATGGTGTGCAGCAGTGGGGTCTCCTCACTTCAGCTGCCCCAGGGCAGTGGCGACGGGCACAAGATGGCTGTGGGGGGCATTGTCCTGAGTGGGAGGGAGACAGTTGAGGCTTGGCCCCATTCATGCTGGCCATGGGGGAGGAAGGAGACGGAGGAGGGGGCAAGGGCCTGGCGACCGGGCTCCACCACAGCTGGCAGCTTTGTCAATAGTGGCCCGGCCAAGGCAGCCCTGCCTCCACCCCAACAATGTCCCTTCTGTCCAGAGGCCCAGGGCAGGGACCCACTATCTGGTGCTCTTACCCCCACCCGGGCTGCTTTGGCCAGGGGGCTCTCTGCCACTCCCCGCCTCCAGGGAGACACCCCCTGGCATGTAGGGACAAAGGGACAGGGTTTCCTCCAGCCAATCCTCCCCATGTGGCCCACAACTCCTGTGCCAGTGCAGGATGCCCCTCCCTGAGTTCCCCCTGGTCCCTGTGAAGGGCACATCGTGGCCCTCAGAGCCCCCACCAGAGGGCTAAAGCTATGAGCCTCTACAAAGCCAGGCTCGGCCTCTGTAGCCTTGGTCCTGGCTGAAGTGCCAGTCCTAGCCTTCAATGCATGCCTTTGTCCAAGCAGAGGCAGAGGAGGCGCTGACAAAGGCAGTCCGTGCAGAAGACCTTCTCCCCCGCCTCCTAGCCTTTGAGAAGACTGTCCCCACCCAGTCCTGCCCCTAGGACTGGCAAAGTCGTGCCAGGTACGGTGTGGTAGTGGGAAAAGCCAGTGGAGGATGACACATGGGAGGGATTGAGGGAAAGAGAGACTATGAGGGGCTCAGCCAGAACTGAGTCCCAGGCTTTGGACATGCAACCGGAAGGTCCTCCCAGGATGGGCCTGGATCCCTATAAGCATAGAAGGGAAGGGAGCAGCAGTGGCAGCTGGCTCCCCCCCTGCTCTTGTAGGCCACCTTGGGGCCACTAACCTCAAGGCCCACTGTGCAGGCGCAGGTGCACTCTGCCTGAGGTCCCTGCCCCTTCTATGCTGTGTGGTAGCAGCAAGGTCCAGAGAGGGGTGGCAGGTGGCTGCTGCCATCTGGCTGAGCTGGTTAGGTGGCTGTGGGGGTGGGGAGCAAAGCAAGCTCCTCATTCTGCACCCAGTTCTGGGCTGGTGCCAGCTCTCCCATTTTAGGTCAGAAGCTCTGGTTCTCTGTCTCCTAGTCCAGTGCCAAACTCCCTGGGGAATACTTTGCCCCCAGCCCTCACAGATGTGTCACTGTGGAGGCTAGATTGGTATCTGATGGCTTTTGCTTGACTCCAACTAGTCAGTTCTACAGAGTGTGGCTTCTCCCTGACCTCAGAGCCCTAAGGCAGTATCCTTCAGTCAGTGGTCTCTGCACATGGTGCCCAAGCCAGCCCCAGATCCTTCCTACCTGGGTGGGCCACCAGTGGTCTGAGGAGCAGCTGCAGTGGCAGGAACGGGTTCTGGTGAAGCTCCAGTCTCCCGCCCCACAATGCAATCGTGCCCAGCCCAACACATCCCAGCGGGCCCAGCCCAGCAGCCCAGCCCCTCCTGGCCCGCCCCTTTGCCCAACAGCACAGGGCAGGCCTCTGCTCCCCTTTGCTGGCCTCGGCAGGGGCAGTGGAAGGCTGGCTACAGTTAGCTGACTGGAGCTACCTAGGACAGGCGGTGCCTTGCCCCAGGTGGACATTCCCTCCCCTCCCACAAAGTGGCCACTAAAAGCAAAAAGTTAATATCTGTGGTTAGTTAGTAACATATTTTATCCTCCCAATGATTCTGGGAGAAGCTTTAGTCATTTCCTCCAGGTAACAAGTGGGGAAACCCAGGCAAAAAAAGTTTCACTGTTAGTAAGTGGCAAGACAAAGAGCTACCCACAGGGTCCCCACCTGTATCCATTTGGTCATGTGGCCTTGAACCATGAACCTTGGCAGGCAAAGAGCAGGGGGGAGATGGATGACCTGCCTCTTTGTTGTTGAAACCAACAGTATTTGTCCCTGACTGAAGTGTAAGGCTGATGGAGGATGGGCTGCAAGGATGCAAAGGTCAGCAAATCAAAGTTGTGGCTGCTGAGGTCCAGAACTTGAGCTTGCCTTTCCAAGTATTGTCAAATAACCTTGCATTTGGGCAAAAGCAAGCTGGTGGCCCTGGGGTGGAGACCATGAGGAGGCCTGGACCAGAGGTGCTGTGAACATGGAGAGAGGTGAGTGTGCTGCAGACATGCTTGGTGGGATAGACGTAGGGTCTTGAAGACCTGGTACTGAATGGGGCAGAGAGGGCAAAGGCAGGACAATGTAGGACCCTACCTCAGGGACCCTTCTGGGGTGACCTTTGTCTTCAGGCTGGTGGAAGAGAGGGTGGGAAGGGGGAAAAAGATGGAGGAGCTCACAGGCAGGAAGAAATGGCTAACTGAAGACTTCGGAATGTGGGATGACAGCTGGGCTTGGGGTAGCTTGAGTGCTAGGGGTAGGTATATGGTTCTGGAAGGGATTTGGAAGGGGCAGAGCCTTGGGGAGGGTGATGGGTTTATAGGCTGAAGGCCTAGCAGATGCAGAGAGCAGATTCAACATGTTATTCCCTCATTAAGACAGGCAGGATATCTGGAACACCGGGACTGGAAGGACTTATCCCCAGGAACTCCTGCTGGATGCCCCCTGGCATCTCTCTGTTCTTCCCCACCCCAACATACATGCATATCCTTTGGAACTTCAGAAAACACAGGCCCTAGGCATGGTGGCACATGCCTTTTGTCCCAGCATTTGGGAGGCGGAGGCAGGAGGATCTCTATGAGTTTGAGGCCAGCCTGGTCTAAATATCAAGTTAAGCGAGCTGTGGTTATATAGTGAGACCCTTTCTAAAAATACAAGAAGAAAAGAAAAAGAAAAAGTACAGAATACAGACATCTTCAATTTGGTATTAGAAATGTCTTTTCCTACCTCTTCAGAAAAGAAAATGAATCTATGGACAGGCAACTCCATTTTCCATAAGCGCACACGTCTGTGGCCTCCACAGGCTCCTTCCACACCCCCTGAGTAGACTGGAGCAGATGCATCTAGTAACATAAGTGACCTCTAGGAGCTTGACCATCTTACACAGGGAGAATTATGTGTTGGCTCCTGCAGATGGCCGACTCGCCTTACTAGTGCCCTTGGCAGATGTGGAGCCCTGTTCTCCACAAGTCCTCCAAGGGCCAGCTGTATGCAACTCTATTTCTGGATGGGGAGGCAGCCTCTACTGGTCTGATGCTGTATCCTTGCCATGTGCCTGCGACTCTAGAGGCTGGCAAGGGACTTGCTGGTCAGAAGAGATATGGCTTTCCTGCTGGTGCTGCCAGTGCTACCAGTGCATTCGGTATTTTTTTTTTTTTTTTTTTTTTTTTAGACAGGGGCTCTCTTTAGCCCCAGCTGTCCTGGGGTCCCTATGTAGACCACACTGGCCTTGAACTCACAATGATCCGCCTGCCTCTGCCTCCCGAGTGCTAAGTTTAAAGGCATGCACCACCACGCCTGGCCACTTTTTTTTTTTAAAGCAGATTGAAGTTTATTAAGACCTTTTAATATGGATTTGAAGCACTAGGCTAAGAGAAAGAAAGGCAAGCAGGTACAAAGGAAAACACCCGGAGAATATGAAGTAGTACCTTGCTGGGCTTTGCATCTGCCCTTTTGAACTACTAGTTTTTCTTTTCTTTTTTTGAAATGGTCCTCATATGGCTCTGACTGACTTCAAATTCATAATGTAGCCAAGGATGACTTTAAACTTCTAATCCTAGGGGCTGGAGAGATGGCTCAGCAGTTAAGAGCACTGACTGCTCTTGCAGAGGACCTGGGTTCGATTCTCAGCACCCACATGATGGCTAACAATCATCTACAACTCCCTTTCTAGGAAATCCAATGCCCTTTTCTGACCTCTGCAGGCATTGCACAACATGGGTGCATGTACACACATGCAGGCAATACATTCATATACATAAAACAAAAATAACAAATAAACTTCTAGTCCTCCTGCCTCCACCTCCTGAGTGCTGGGATGAGAAGTGTGTGCCACCTCTCCCTGCTTATGCGGTGCATGGAGATTGAACCCAGTGCTCTATGCATGCTAGGCAAGCACTCTACCAACTGAGTTACATCCCCAGCCCGTTGATCTTGTGTTTTTCTCAAGACAGGGTCTCACTGTGTCATTCAGGCTGGCCTTGAACTTCTGATACTAGATCCTCCTACCTCCATGTCTTGAGTGCTGGGATTACAGGTGTATGCCACCAGACCTGGCCTGACTACTAGTTTCTAGTTTCTTTATTCTTATGATTCTTCTGTATGTATTTTTGTGTGTGGTCACAGAACCTCACATATTAGGCCAGTGCTCTACTGCTGAGCTATACCCCTGGATCCCTGTTTTTGGCTTTTTGTTGTTGGGTTTTTTTGAGACAAGGTCTACCTATGTAGCCCTGGTTGACCTGGAGCTCGCTATGTAACTCAGACTGGTTTAAAAACTCACAGTTCCTGCTGCCTCGGCCTCGAGAGTGCTGGGATTAAAGGTGTGTGCCACCACGCCCAGTTTAGTAGGGTATTTTTGTTTTGTTTTGTCTTGCTTTGTATTGGAGGTTTGTCTTGAACTATTCCTCTTGCCTCAGCCTCCAAATGCTGGTACTACAGGCATGTTACCAGCACACCTGGCCTACTTTTCCAACTTCTCTATGTTTTTTTTTATGTTACTGTGGGTATTCTGTTCATTTATTTATTTATTTAGCCTTTTTGAGACAGGGTCTCCCTGTAGCCCCAGCTGCTCTGGAGCTCACTATGTAAACCAGGCTGGCCTTGAACTCATAGAGATTCATCTGCCTCTGCCTCCCAAGAAGTGCTGGGATTAAACATGTGCACCACCACGCCCAGCTTATTTATTTTTAAATTTACTTGTTTAATTTAATTAGTTAGTATGTGTATGAGGGTTTTGCCTGCATGTGTTTGAGTGCACCTTTGCATGCGTTTAACTGCACCTTTGCATGCAATGCCTGTGTAGGCCAGAAGGAGCATTGGATCCTCTGAAACTGGAGTTGCAGATGACTGTTAGCCACCCATGTGGGTGCTGGGAACTGAACCCAGGTTCTTTGCAAGAGCAACCAATGTTCTTAACCGCTGAGCCATCTCCCCAGCCCCTCTTTTTCTTTCTTTTAAAACTTTCCTTTTTATTTTTTGGTCTTTTTGAGATAGGGTCTCCCTGTAGACACAGCTGGCCTAGAACTCACTATGTAGATGAGGCTGGCCTCTAACTCACAGAGTGTGTGTGTGTGTGTGTGTGTGTGCGCGCGCGCGTGCGCACGCACACCACTGCAAACATGTGGATGTCAGAGAACAACTCGAAGTAGTTAGTTCTCTTGAGTGCTGTCATTAAAGGCATGCACCACCACGCCAGATACCTCTTTTTATTTCTTGAGACTGGGTCTCAATATGTAGCCTAGGTTTACCTTGAATTTATGATCCTTCCTCCATCAGCCTCCTGTGTGCTGGGATCACAGGTGCAAGCTGCTCTTTAAAAAAAATTATTATTGTTATTATATTACTATTTGTTCGGTTTTTTTGGTCTTTTTGAGACAGGGTCTCCCTGTAGTCCCAGCTGTCCTTGAACTCACTATGTAGACCAGGCTGGCTTTGAATTCTCCGCCTGCCTCTGCCTCTGCCTCCCCAGTGCTGGGACCAAAGGCGTGCTCCACCATGCCAGGCATATTATTATTATTATTATTATTATTATTTGTGATATGTGCAAGCATTGTGTACCACAGTGTGCATGTGGAGGTTAAGAGACAACTTTTGGGAGTCAGTTCTCTGCTTCCACTGTGGGTTCTCGGGATGGAGCTCAGGTTATCAGGCTTGCATGGCAAACACTTTTTCCCCACTGAGTCACCTTACTGGTACCCAAGTTGCTGTCTTTTAAAAATTTATTTGTGTTACATATTGCTTGCATGTAGAAAAGCAATGGGTTTTTTTGTACACTGCTTTTTTTGGGTCTTTTTAAAACAGGGTCTCCCTATAGCCCCAGTAGATCAGGCTGGCCTAGACCTCACAGAGATCCACCTGCCTGTGCCTCCTGAGTGCTGGGATTAAAGGTGTGTGCCACCACACCCGACCTATACACTGGTTTTTAAAAATTAAGTGACCTTGTAAACTCTCACATTAAGTCTAAGAATTGTCTTTGGGCTATGAATAAAGCTCAGTGGTAGGGCTAGTTTAGTGTGGTTGAGGATCTGGATTCAAAACACACAGACACACAGACACACAGACACAGACACAGACACACACACACACACACACACACACACACACACACACACAGAGGACTGGGTGGTCTCTTTCCACCAAACCTGAAAACACAAACTTGATTCCTGGAAGGAGAGAATGGACGACCTCGTTGTCCTCTGACCTCCGCATGTGTGCAGTGGCATGCATGCGCGTGCGCACCGCCCCCTACACACATATACAAACACACTAAATAAATAAAT